ATACTTCAAAGTTTTGTGGGCCCATAACCCCGGACCTGCAAAAATGGAGAGTGCTGGTAGCTACGCTCCCAAAGAAATTTTCATAAGGCTAACTTAGGTCGAAAAAATTCTTATTTTGATCGTTTACATGTGTAAATAGGTCACTTCCACATTATCGTAGCTCACGAAGTAACTTTCATTATTTCGCGCCCCATTTTCGGGTGAGGGGAGAACCATAGAGACAAAATCACCATTAACTGGATTACTCACTCTCCAAATCTACATCAAACCCAACTTTTTATATGGCAGTAGTAATGAAATTCAGAGAGGCAAGGACACTTATTATATACCAAACGTTAAGTGGATATTCTGCACATCTAGTTATTGCTATGAGTATCTGATAATGCTGGGTCAGCCAATTGGGAATAAAAGAGGAAAATCAGTGTGTTACAGTCAAACTGTTGCAGTCCAAAGAAGGTCCAGATGCTCAAGTTTGTTTGGAAACTACTCAAGAGCTTAGTTATAATTTCTTCTAACTTGTCATTTACGTCATGAAGATACTCAAACAATAAATGTTACGCATACTTTTTCTCAACATAGAAGGGTAACGTAAACATGTGAATTCACAAAATTTCGCTAGTGGTGGCACACAGAAAAAAAGCAAATGTATTCTCTCAGCACGAAAGTTCGTACAGGATCATACATTTATCAGTGGGAAAAATGATTCTTTTGATAATCGCTATAGTAACCACTGGAGCTTGAACACAACAATTTACCACGCCGAACTCCAGCCAAGGTTTGAAACGTTCCAAATCTTGAAGGAGTTGTGGTAAGAATCAGCAGTTTGCGCTTCTCCAACTTCCCCTTTAGATATTCTCTACATAATCTTTTGCATACCAAATTCGTAGGCCTACCTCAAAAAAGCACGCAATGAACTAGCCAGACATCAACGACCAAGCAGCTTTTTCTCCTCTTCAGCTAATTGTTCTCTACCAATGCATTTCGGAGTTTAAAAACCATAACTTTCAGTCGTAAAAGTACCCATGGTAGGCGCCGCAAAGTTATTGAGTAGAAAGTCATTTGATTTGAAATTTCCGACTTCATAGAGATTATCGAGCAAGTTACTTTAAGGATGTGATTTTCTTTGAAAGGAGAAAAGCTGTATTACCTAAATGTTTGTTCAAAGTTACTCCTTGTAGTTTCGGAATGGCTAGGGATGACAACATTACTTAGCAAAAGGGTCAAATAAAGTTTATCAGGAATGAGCAAAAATCGGTCTGTACTTCAGAACGGTAGCATTCGCCTAATGTTGCGTTTAAAGACCTATGCTTTGCAAACCACTGCATCAGAATGATTAACATCAGAGAATGGTCATTATTTCTGACTTGAGATCAGCGGTCGAATTTACTATCTTCGCTAAGCTTATTCTTAAAAAAGCGTGCAGTTTTTCCGAAACACAAGGGTGTGCAATACCCCTTCCATATACCGTTGAAACGAGCAGATGATGCATCTCAGCTAGAGTTGAGCAATTTCGTTTGCCTTCATACAGTAATGTTTTAAAAAGCTGTGACACATCCCCACATACATAACTTGGCCAGGCTGGTAATGGGAAGATCTCAAACTTGGCTGGCTCCACGGTGTCGCGCAAAACCAGTGAGGTTCGACCAGAGCGACAGCTCATGACCGACATTTCGACAAAGAAATTACGAAGAAAGGCTGTCACTTCTAAATTGGAGGAGGGGCTTGGCCGCGAAGAGCACTAGGACAGTTTGCTAGCTTATTGCAAAAGCATAGTTCATGGGAGACGTGCTTCATTAGGTTGAAACTCTTTTTGATCTTTTTTCAAGTCAAGAAAGAGAGATGAGTAGTCCAAGCACAAGGATCTGGTAGCAATCAGAATTCTTGTTGCGTATGATTGATGATGCAGCCTAAGCGTTGAACGACTGTCACCTCTTAACTATTATACTTGTATGAAGTAGTGGGGGGAGGGAGTATGAGGAGTAAACTAGGTTGAAAACTATTTCGTTTTTTCGTCCTCTGTTTATAAATCAAGGGCACTAATAAAGGAAAGAATCAAGGCGCTCAAGGCCCAAGGCATACCTCACGCGATTTCAATCTCCACGCGATCTGGCAATTTGCCAACTATCTTCAAATTCAATACTGATAGACCCAAAGGCACAGCACGTAAACTTTCGTAGGTTGATAAAAATGCTCCATTCCATACATTCAGAAACTCCTTACGATGAGTTAGAACCAATTGCAGTGGCGCCAAATCGCGCCAAGACTGAAATTGTGTGAGGTTTCTTTTCAGCCTAAAGCTTCTAATTGAAAAGTAGGCTGAAAGTTACGAAGGTGCTCTTTCAATTTTGTTTCTTCTCTAATTACAACAAAAATGTATGGGACGTATCGGCATAAGAGTCATTATTTCGATCTTTGTCGTTATCATTTTATTTGTGAAAGAAGAATATCTCGAGTTCATGAGCAGCAAATGTTTGCAGTTTGGAAGGAATTTCATCGTGAAAATTTGATTAGAAAAATGAAAAATCACTCTCGAAAAACTACGGAGCCTTTTGAGATATGTTATGATTATCTGTAAGTGCTAGAAAACATTCTATAGAAATCATATGAAATTTGAGTAATGGAGAAGTTTTGAACTGTCCTTAGATCGCTCCTTATATTCTCTAGAAACTCCGTTGAAATGTGTTTTGCATAAAGCCTAAATGAACTGGGAATAAAAGTAAATTACCAAAGCTTAGAATCAGCTTGGGTAGGTGATACCAGAACATGATAGTTGCCTCTTCGTACTCTGTCATTTAAAGCACGGATCAAACTTCAATGTATGTGGCTGATAGCTAATCCAACAGCCATTTGCTAGTATATCATTGTGGGCCTGCTAATGATGTTATCTTGGTTCTCCTGTAAAAGGGCATGCTGCTAATTTTCGTACTTATTAGGTAACCCCCTGAAATTTGATTGCGAGGGGCTATTGTCATGTGGTCATTAATTGACGTCACTCACTTGTCAGAGAGTCATTTTTGGAACAGTTTTTGAAGGCCAAGTCAGTCGTAGTATAGTCGTAGTCAGTGATGTTCTTCGACGTACTTCCTTCTTGCGAGATTTTTTGCCTAATTCGCTAGGGGATGCGTAAGAAAGTGAGACGGCGATGGTGCGTCAGATTAGCGATGGCCTTTGCTCAACTTTAGGGCAATCAGATTGATTCGCCATCGCTGCGTCAGAATTGGGACCAAATTCGTTTTGACACCCCATCATGCTTCTTCGGCTCTGCTTCCTCTCAGAGCCATCAATCTCTTCGACCCCACTAAGCACTGATTCGTTTCGAGCCACCTGTACGCTGACCTGTCACTGAGCTGACGTCTTCGCTGGGACATTATTGTCCGCTCGAGCGCGCACTTTCCTATAATTGTCTGTTTGCCCGTGTTACGGTTGACAATATGCAATTATCAAATCTATACCTTACCCTTGAAGACGCAATATATACCCTCACAAAATCATGCTCTTTTTCAGTCTTTCCAGCTCGCGATTTTCGCAATAAAATCTTTTTGCTCATTGTGGCTAGGATAGGACTCCATAATGCATTTCTGATATTCACGAGTTGAAGCGCTCGTTTGAAAGGCACGAAATTAACGCATAGAGATGGCAGACGAATTCGTAATGAAGCTTATGTGTATTCAGCAATGAATAAAAGCAAAACACCAAATTGGTCACGCAAGTTCTCACGTTGATGATTCAAAGATTTCGAAATGGCACTCAAATTCACTGTTATATATGTGATTCATCTAGCATTATTTGAAGGCAGTAACAGACGTTTTATGCTTCAGATCCTGCCTATCATCACTTTTTAATGGCATTTGCCAGCTCTCCATTGCACATAAGGCCTAATTTCGTTGAAGTCATAAATCAATGAAAAAATTCTCGATGAACACACTTTCAAGCACTAGCCATAAGCACTTATATCTTCTCTGAAACCTGCAAGGAGTTACCGCTGACGTTTGAGGAGATTGAGGAACTTTTGTTTCATCCATGTAAAACTATTAGTCTTACGTTCGAACACTACATCATCCTCTCGATTACTAGGAGAAAAGAAAGTGTAAATCGCTGACTTCAGGACTGCTGTACCCCACAACAAAAAGGACCAAAAATTGAATCAAAAATTGGGCCATTTCAAAAACTATGATACCAGCTATTATTTCTAGAGAACGCTCTCTTCCTGACCTTCCTGATCTCCTCCTGTTCAAGCAGCCCAAAATATTCCAAAACCGTACAAAATTTTAGCTACAAAACTATACCGTAGTGTGAGGGCAGACAGGGGGATGCTTCTTGATTGATTGCCAGGTTCCTAACTCGTGTAAATGCCATAACTCAAGTATCTTCCTCGTTAGAAAGCAGTTAAAACAATTTCATGAATTGTAAAACTTGATTAGCTCTGTAGAAAAATCTGCGGTGGGCCTACCGCCGTGGTCCTTTTTTCAAAAATTTCAGAGTTTCGAGCTTGCAAAAATTTGCAAGACTCCCAAAAAATTTTGATTCCCCTGTCCCCCTTTCCAAATAATATTTTTGACCAGTACCTTACTTGTCGAGGCTTATCTGGCCCTTTAGTCTTCGCGTGATTACGTATATGGTGGAGCCAATAAATGAGGTTTCGTTAAGCGGCAACTGCATTCCGAAGATTTTGCTGTGTCAACCCCCCGATCCAGCGTTGGTGAAATAGTTCTATAATGCTCCGAAAGAACTATGCGGCAACTGGCACGAAATTTCTCTTCTGATGTCCGCCAGGCCACTTGCAATGAAGAACAAACGTTGTGTCAGAGCGCAACGTAGAAATCCTTCCTGACAGGCTTCACCATCAAAAAACAACCTCCATTATATCCGAGCAACTTTTTCCTCTGGACAAGTAATTTTCTACTCACCTTTTAGATTTCAGACACGCTCTAATAACTATACCAGTTCCAGTAACTTTTTCAAATCTTCAAAGTGGGAATAATTAAGCCCTTTGTAGGCTTGACACACTTATGACAGCTGTGGTATTCATCATCTTTACTATGCCATAAAACAGTGACGGATGCAGGGGGCTGCAGGTATCCCTTCCCTTCTTCCTTCCCTTCCCTCCCCCCCCCCCCCTCTTTCCAATCTACATGAGTTTGGGAATTGTACAACAGTTTTCAGTTTTGTTTGTAGTTTGTAAAACTTCGCAAGCTTAGATTACTTTCTGAAAAGATTTTCCAACTTTGCTAATATCACTCCACTCATGGAAATTCTGGTGTTGCAAGCTCGCAAAATGAAGAAGTTTTCCGAATGTATTGTCAGGGAAGGAATGTTTGGCGCTAGATATTGCACTCAAAAATCTCTCAGGAAAATTTATCCGCGACCATTGTAATGTATAATATATCAACACTAACCATTCTTAAATTAGGAGGGCCCAGTGGCGTACCCAGGATTTCGGCTCGGGGGGGGCGCGGCAAAAAAAATTTTTAAATGAAGGTGCGTGGCGTTAGCCACGCACTCCGAAAAAATTTTAGGGGGGCTTCTCAACAATTCTGCGGGCCCTCAACCCCTAAAATCTGGAAAAAGGGGGCGTGGCGTCAGCCACGCCCCCGAAAAAAAATTTTTTATAAGGCTAATTTGAATTTTTAAAAAATTTAAAAAATTATTTTAATTGTTTACAAAAATAAACAAGTCATTTGCACATTTTTATAACGCATGTAAGTAACTTTCAAAAATTTCGCGACCCGTTCTCGGGGGGGGGCGCGCGCCCCCCCCGCCCCCCCCCCTCGGTACGCCACTGGGAGGGCCTTATTGCTATATCAAAAACTTCGAGATTTTGCAGAAATCCAGGTAAGAAACATATGACAAGCATCAAGTGTTACAATTATATATGTACTGCGCCGCCTCTCAGTTTTCTCTAATATGATCAATTCTGAAAACTTCGAAAATAGATAAAATAATACCGACCCTGCAGCGTGCTCGAAATAAACTGCGCTTAAAATAAAGCTATTCAAGAAGCATCTAGCAAGACGTCTTCTTCAGAAAAGATGACGAACTGGAGCTAAAAATTTGGCTGCATGTAGCTTCTATTTGGCGTAGGCAAACATCTTGTGAATCCTCACTAAAGCTTTATATTCAAAAAAAAGAAGAAAGAACCGAAACTTGCGTCGTCCACATTCCAGCTGTGAAAATTTGAAGATTTTAGTTCAGATTCAAACAATACATTTTCTTCTTAACCACAAATAGATCTGTAGGTCCAAACTGTCGACAACGTCCACTTTTATCCAGTGAAATATGTAGCAAGATGAACCACACAGTTCCATTCCTTAGTTGCTGTCGCGGCTGAACAGTTTTTCAAAGAAATCTTCTGTTGGTGCCATGTGTACCACAGCTCCAACAGAATTGTTACGTGAAGCTCTCGCATAGAATCCCCACTTTCAGCCACAGAGTAGTAAATGCAATTTTTTTTAGCGTGACACAACTTCTGCTCAGTGAATAGCTAATTTTGCAGTTTTAAGCCCTTGAGAACTTACTAACCTCTAGCAGTGTATTTTGCAGTTACAACTCGGTACTTTCTAGAAAACCGAATATTATTTTAATTCTCGATAGCAACATAAAATACATACGTGATCAAAAAGATAATCTATAGTAGTATGCCTAAGCTTTGATTTATTCTCAATATTCCTGTTTTGACTATGTTGTTCAGAGTTCGGAGTAGTTTTGAAATGATGGGTCTGCAGTTTGTTCTGATTGTAAGCAATTCCAACAATTTCGAATTCCCATAAAAGGCATTTATACAGGGTTTCCTAAAAAGATGTCCAAACTGTTTGATCGTTAATAACTCTTCTGCTTTCATGTTTTTTGCCGAGTTTGAGGTACCATTCTGTAGAGCGAAATTCAGCTTAGATTTGAGATGTGGAGCGGATCTTCAATCGCTCTTCATTTCTGTAAGATTATTGTAGAAACTTCGAGGAGGATTTTAAGGCATTGAAAGCGGAATTTTGCCGGTATTTCGCCTCAGAAGCCAAGCAATCCAGAAACTCTTGAAGTGAGCTAATCGAAGTTGCTGATTCTGAATCTTCTTTCTTAAGTTATTTCAAATTCAAAGTAATACTGTTTTTTCAATGTTCGTCAGAAATGTGAAGACGCCATCAAAAAAGCTCGAAAAACTGGTGAAAAGTCATGTACTGAAATCAGCGCGCTTGAAAACCTTGCTACACAAATTTTCAGATTATTTTTTGAAATTATTTCATCAAAAGGCCTATTCGTGACGGTGTATGCTGGAAGTTCATACCGTAATCCTACAGTAATGAAGAGTGACGGTAATACGCTCCATGCTGTAATTCTAAGTTGAACCTCGCTCTACCGAATGGCGCGTCAAGCTCTGCAAAAAGCAAGAAAGTTATTAGCAATGTCGAGACGCAGACTAATTAGAGTCCGACAGTCCCCTCGCCGACTTGGGCGGTGCCACCAACTTCAGATGAGCTGGCACTCCCCGGTTGCTCGGTGGTCCCCTCCCCAATTATGTTCCCCCATATTTATATATGTGCTAATGATAAAAGAATCTAGTCAAGAATTGTTATGTTGGTACAAAGGGAAGAAACTAAGGGTAGAGGGATCAAGTTAAGAGAATAGCTAACTCTTCAAACTTGACATGGAGGTCCCGGGTTTTTCTGAACTTTTGTCGCATAACTTTTTTCACTAGGAAAAAAAATCTAAGCATAGATTAGGCCAATTTCTGCTGAATACTCCCACCACCGGCACCAGCCCTCATCTCCTACGTGAATTACGTAGCCCTTTTTCATATTTACCCTTTCTTTTATCTTTTCCCTTGAGTCCAGGCGATGGGTCTGAGTGTGTTTTTTATTTTGTCATATTTTTTCGTGTCATAGTGGGTAATGAATATAATCATGTATTCTTTACCTACTGTGTGTTTGACAGTCTTTTTTTGTTTCATAGCAGATAATGACTATATTACTATATTGAATATGGTATATGATAATTTTTATCTGCTGTGATTCTTACAGTTTTTACCGTGATACCACGTGAAGAACCGTAAATATTTACTCTTTCTTCCTCTAGCCCCCTTTCCCCACCCTATTTATTTAGAAACAAATCTAAAACTTTTCATTTTTTCAAAACATATTTTACTTTGTAACTTCCACATTTTCTCTTTCACAATCTATTATCTTTCCAAAACATGTAAAATTCATTTTCACAACCATTTTTCACCATATTTCGCCTACAACTTTACACATTATTTTCAATCAATTATTTTCTTCTTCCTCACTTTCCATCGTTATTTTTTACACAAACTCAGGGACTCTATCGCCAACGCCGGCACTGTACATATGTATAAAATTTTTATAATTGTGTTTAATTGCCATAGCCGTTTTGTAATTGCCGCAGTTCCACAGGCGATCTAGACGCCTGTGGATAGTCTGTAGGCTATGTTGCTTATGGTGATTCCATAGGCTATGTCATAGCCCATGGGGTTACCAGAGGCCCTTTTCCCAGTCACGCCGATTCAGAGCGTCATTATGTAATCTTGAGTGGCATATAGGCGCCAGGAGCTATCCTAAGCTCGGCGGAATTCGTTTCAAGCAGTAAAACAATACTGCCTAGTCTGCGCTTAAGACAGCTTCACCTATTTACTTATTTGTAAAAAAAAATATGCAGCTCTGGAGCAGATAATTCTCGACTACTGAAGCGAGTTGGATATCTACTGATCATCTTTATCCAACTTCGTCACAGTGGTATCCATTTCTTGACTTTCAGTGTTTCATTATACTGTATTCATAACAATTTTGTGCAATTTTGTATTTATCAATGTACTACTAACCAAAAACAAAAAAAAAAGAACCATTCATGTTCCGTGCGAAAGCGTGCCTTCTCATCCCTTTTCCCCCTGTCCTTGTGAAGAAAAATCCAGCGACTAACGCCTGAAGCAAGTCTGCCCTCAACCAAAGCAGCAAATGGTAATTGGGCAACATCAACTACACATATGGGCAACGTTCAATCAAATCAATCGATGACACCTCAAATGTATGGGCAACGTCAAACGAATCCGATGATGACAACTAAATTACCATGGCAGACTTCAAAAGCTCGAGGACGAGCTTTGCCATGGAACGGACATGTCGAGACGCAGACTAATTAGAGTCCGACAGTCCCCTCGCCGACTTGGGCGGTGCCACCAACTTCAGATGAGCTGGCACTCCCCGGTTGCTCGGTGGTCCCCTCCCCAATTATGTTCCCCCATATTTATATATGTGCTAATGATAAAAGAATCTAGTCAAGAATTGTTATGTTGGTACAAAGGGAAGAAACTAAGGGTAGAGGGATCAAGTTAAGAGAATAGCTAACTCGTTAGACTTGACAGCAATTAAAGAGTGTGCACATCTTTTTGGGACACTCTGTAATATTAGGTTGGCTAATAAATAAGTTCTTTCGCTTTTGTGGCTCTTACAAATGCTAACCAAAATACGCCCAGTGTTTGGTATCTCTGGAAATAGCATTCTAATGGGAATTGGGTGACGAATGTCCTCTTGTATAGATCTTATCTTCCAAGGAAAAAACCCATAAAGAAGTGGGAAACAATTTTTTCATAGTGTGCAAATACCCATTACAGCATGAAAACGAAGCTTACAAAATTAACGACTGGAGACTTTGAAGATTTAGCCATGTTAAGGCAATGACTGTCTTTACCAATCATAGAAAATCCTGAATATTTGATACGTGGTAAAGCAAACTTGAAGCTACTGTTCCACAAAGAATCACGAGTACAAAATAACAAAAAAATTTTTCTTATGAACTTATTTTTTCAAACCTTCAGGAAATATACTTGCATAGACATTAAGCATGACATATCAGGAAGCTAGCTATTTCTGAACCGTTGTATAATAATCCTTCTGGTGACTCCTGTGTACTATTTCCGCGTCACCCTATTTTGCCAATCCCGCTCAATAATGTTCTTTCATTGCAATTTGCGCGTTCTTCATATTTCAATTCTCTTCATTCGCCATGTTATGCACTCGTCGGCGCTAATGGAAGATTGTAAGAATGTTGCCTTTACATCATCTCCATTCATTTC